AGACCATACACAAAATCTATCGATATGCTATCCCATTTCCACTCAGGAATAGATAATGGTTGTATCAAACCCGACGGTTTCTGATGCTCAATCTTCAACTTCTGACAAGTCAAACAAGAATACACAAGCTCGACAATGTCTTTCTTCATACAAGGCCACCAAAATACTTTCCTCAAATCTTGATACATCTTAGTAGCACCTGGATGAATACTCAATCCACTACGATGCCCTTCCTCAAGAATACTCTTCTTCAACTCAACAATATCTGGAACACAAACTCTATCACAACATCTCATAATACCATTCTCATCAATCCAAAAATCACCACCTTGACCTTGATTGATCAAAGTCTACCGATCAACTAGACTCAAATCAGATTTCTGACCTTCTCTTATCTCATCAAGAATGAGACTAGTAAGCTTCAACATACTTAGGTTAACTCCATAAGATGTCTCTTCACAAAAACTCATATCTCAAAATTGCTCAATCATTTCCAACTCTTTTACCATCATCATCGACATATGCAAAGATTTCCTACTCAATGCATCAGCTACCACGTTTGCTTTATCTGGATGGTAATTCAAACCAAAATCATAATCCTTCAGAAGTTCTAACCATCTCCTTTGCCTTGCATTCACTTCTATCAGATCAAAGAGATACTTCAACTCTTACGATCACTAAATACCTCAAATCTCAAACCAAACAAATAATGCCTTCAAAGCTTCAACACAAATACAACAGCGACCAACTCTAAGTCATGCGTCAGATAATTCCTCTCATGCACTTTAAGTTGCCTGGAAGCATAAGCTACAACTTGTTGATGTTGCATTAACACACCTCCTAAACACATCAAAGAAGCATCACAATACACAACAAATGGTTCTTCCAGCTTCGAAAAAATCAAAACAGGAGCTGTTGTCAATCTTCTCTTAAGCTCTTGAAAACTTTCTTCACACCTTGCATCCCAAACAAAAGCTCGACCATTCCTAGTCAACTGCGTCAACGACAAGGATAACTTGGCAAATCCTTCAATGAATTTCCGATAATAATCTGCCAAACCAAGAAAACTTCTAATCTCAAAAATTGATTTCAGAGCTTCCCATTGTGATACAACTTCAACCTTCGTTGGATCAACTGCAATACCTCTACTTGAAATCACATGGCCAAGGAAACTCACTTCCTTCAACCAAAACTCGTACTTAAAAAGTTTAGCATACAACTGCTTCTCTTTCAACACAGATAACATAATCCTCAGATGCTCAACATGATCCTCTTCATTCTTCGAATAGATCAAAATATCATCAATGAACACAACCATAAGCTTATCCAAATAAGGATGGAAAATCCTATTCATGTATTCCATAAATACACTTTGGTACATTAGTCACACCAAATGGCATCACAAAATACTCATAATGTCCATACCTTGTTCTATAAGCAGTCTTCTGAATATCTTCAACCTTCACACGAATCTGATGATACCCATATCTCAAATTTATCTTACTAAACACACTTGCACCAACCAACTGATCCATCAAATCATCAATCCTTATTCAATTGTCAGTAATCCACAGGGCCTCATATAACCTTCTTTCTTCTTAACCAACAAAACCAGTGCATCTACGGCAACACACTCAGTCGAATAAACCTCTTCTCAAGCAAATATTCAAGTTGACTCTTCAGCTCTTTCAATTTCGATGCGAACATACGATATGGAGCCATTAATACCAAAATAGTTCCAGGAACTAAGTCGATCGCAAAATCCATTTCATGTTCCGACGGTAAATCACTTATCTCATCAGGAAAAACTTACGGAAAATCACAAATAATTGGCAAACCACCAACTTCACCACTTTCATTAACACTCAAAGTTGCCATCAACATAAACATCTCAGCACCATCCTGCACTGACTCCTCAAAATAATCTGTAAGCACTTGGCTTAACTCCAAATAATTCACTACACATACCATCTAAGCTCGCAAGACACGTCTATTCCATCCAACATGATCCTGTCTACTATCAACAAGAGATTAAGGGTGATCAGTTCCTCAATTTGTCAATAGACAGCCGACAGTCATGATGGAGCATAAACCATCTTTATCGAACTATAATAGCGTTTAACAATACATTAAGCCACCGCTCCACACTTGAAGCATCTTGGAGAAGCATAACCTTCTCCTCCACTTGTTTCAATCCCACTCCTGCAGGCAAGGGTTAGAAAAACAAATATGTACCGACAGTGTTTGCACACACATGTCGCATACTAGGGAACAAACAACATTAGACAACCTAACTGGATGGACCGACCTGCTCTAATACCACTAATGTAACACCCTTTTAAACCCGCAGAATATATATAAATAATCAGAGTAATTATCATGCATCTCACAACAGGGTGTCACATATAACTTCAAAATATCACGCAACTATCTGTTATGCTCATTAACACTTAAAATAAATTCACATTTTTCATAAACTTTCACCTTAGCATGTTGCAGCGAATTTAATTTAATCATAATTGCCATAATGAAAGTCTCATACTCATCTCATTCATAACCAATACTTAGGTATAAAAGCCAGTACTCCACATAATTCAAATAAACATAACAACATAAAGTATAGTACATAATGTATCTTTCAAACATAAATTGAAACAATCTCAGTGTTACATGATCAGAGCACGACTCGACCCAACTAAAATAAAGACACAAAACAAGCTACTCCAATAGCTACCTCGCGCTAGAAGCAACTCTACTCCTTGGTACCTGAGCGTTGTCGTATAAAACATCATTCCAACAGAAGGATAAAAATTCACATAATTATTGAAATTATAAGATAATATATAATTTAAGGCATACAAACATAATCACAATTATCCTCACACTTCAAAAGCTTCATCAACAAAGTATCACTCAAGTAACCATATTATTCACAAGTATATACACACAACCCATAATTTTACCAATTCAACAATTCACATAAATACACATAATCTCATATTGCAAACAGAGACACCATGCAAATCAATGCAACTGACCATTTGGTTCATATAAAACCCATCAATTCTCATCAATTTCCATTCGGAATTATGGATATATCGCTTATACCCCGCTAGGAACAACATCTTAATCATTCTACCCCAATAATTACCCCACTAAGAACGACATCTTAGTCATTCTACCCCAATGGTTACTCCACTAAGAATGAAATCTTTGTCATTCTACCCCAATGACTACTCTACTAGGAACGACATCTTAGTCATTCTACCCCAGTGCGTAAGACTATATCACTTATATCTCACCAGGAACGACATCTCAGTCATTATACCCTAGTGAGTACGAGTCTTGTACATGTCTTATGTAATACAAACCACGATAACTGACTCATGACAAACATATGCATACACGCATAATTCAACATAATGAATTACTTACCACACAATTACACATACTTGCACATTTTTATGAATCATCCACACACAATTCAGTTTCAAATGGTATACAACACATTTTACAATACAATCACAATTGTCTTATCATTACAACAAGAAATAACTATCATGAATTTCATGTTTTCACACACAAAATATACTTATATAAGTATACGCATAAGTATTCGATAAGTTATCCACAATAATTTCACAACCGACAACAAATAATGCAACAATTCATCAATAGAACATATACACAATTGACTTCCAAAACATATTAAATATAAAAATATTGGTCAACCAATTATATTATCTATACTATGTTATAGCTCTATTCATTAGCTTTCCAACGCTTCGAATAGGGACCAAAACAGACTTACGGATCGAAAGTTATGGCCAAAATGGTCGAAACAATTTTTTTACCAATACACAGCATTGCGTCGACCGCTAGCAACGGATCAGTCGACGCATTGAAGGCAGAAACAAATCCAGAAAAATGCATTTAGTATGCATCGACGCAAACAGTCCAGAATGCAGAAGTTTCTGCGTTTTTCACCGTTGGAGGTCTTCCGGACCTCCGATTTCAATTTTGTAAAAAGCCCCAGTTCCAAAATTCAAAATACTACCATTATATGACAATTATAACAATACATATTTAAGGATCCTACCATCATATATCATATAATCATTAATTTCAAAACTATGGAAATTAGGGATTTTTATCCTAAATATGATACTACCCATCATACACTATCATACAATCCCAATAATCATATAAAAACTCATCCTTACCTTGAATTTATTGAGCTCTCTTGGTTATTCTCTTCTTCTCCACTTCTCTTTCCCTCTTGCCTCTTTCTTCCTCTTTACTAACTTTTTTAAACCCTATTCTTTCTCTTTCTCTTATTTTATAAATCTCACAATTATTCTTATAATTCTATTGGGCTTACTAACTCACCATCATAATTTTTATTCACACCCTCCATTAAGCCCAACTATTAATTCTAGCAATTCTACATTTTATTATACCAATAAAATAAATCACATAAATTAATTTAATTCAATAAATTACATATATCAATTAAATCAATTAACTCATATAAATTAAATAAATCAATTAATTTATATAAATCAAATATTTCATATAAATTCAATAAATCAACTAATTCAAATATATCAAGTAAATCAATTAATTCAATAAATCACATAAATTAGTTAATTTGATTAGGCACAAAATCATTTAATTAATCATTTAATTAAATTAAATTAATAATTACTAAAAATTGGGGTGTTATAGGGGGCACACTCGTGATAATTCTAAAGGTATGAACTGACTTTCTTGGGATCGCTTGTCTATGGCAAAAAAACATGGAGGTATGGGATTCAAAAACCTCAGTGCTTTTAACTATGCAATGGTTGGTAAACAAGCATGGAATCTAATGTCGAAGCAAAACAATCTTGTATCCAAACTTTATAAAGCTCGTTACTTCCCCTATCAATGCTTTTCTTGATTCTTCCTTAGGTCACAATCCCAGTTACATGTGGAGAAGTATTTGGAGTGCTAAATTTATGGTTCAAGGTGGTTACAAATGGAGCATAGGCTCTGATGAGAGCATTTTGGTTTGGAACCAAAACTGGTTGCACAATCGCACCTTCCTGATTAATTCATGGTTGCATATTCCTGATGTATCTAATATGAAAGTGGCGGATTTGATAAGCAATTACAGCAAACAATGTAACTCTGATTTGATTGTTCCATTGGTCGATGAAGAAGCAGCAAATAAAATTCGCAATACCATGCTTTTTGAGTTGGTTCAAGTCGACAAAATGGTCTGGAATTTTGAAAAGGGCGGCAATTACTCAGTGTGTAGTGCTTATCATTTTTGTATAGATAAAGTCATTGATACATCTCAGCTCAGAATCGATGAAAATTGGGATTTAATTTTGAAGTTAAAAATACCTCCAAAAGTGGAAAAAAAATTCTTGAGACTTTGCAGGAATTGTGTTCCTACTAGAGTACACCTTAAAAACAAAGGCGTGGATTGTCCTATTATTTGTAGCGTATGTGGCGTCGAGGAGGAGAGTAATGAACACTTATTTTTGCAGTGTCCTAAAAGCAAGGAATGTTAGGAGAAAGTAGGGTTCTAGGCAAAGTTACAACAACTGCAGAATATTCATGTATTGTTGGTTGCTGTTGTTTTTGCTTTTTTATAGGTATCTAATCAGGACCAACAGGTTATCTTCTCTATTACTCTGTGGAGTTTATGGAAAAGCAGAAATAACCATATTTGGAACCATGTGAATTCTCATGATACCATATGTAGTCGTGTTATACATCTACTTCAAAGATGAAGAAATGTCCAACAGCTGAAGGAAACCAACACATACCATTCTCAAGCTGTCTAATCCTAAGTTGGTATAGGAGTTTGCATCAGAAATGATACATGTACCTTTATTGCAGCCTGTACGAAATGGTTCTCTCCTATCACAGAGGTTGCAACGTGGGAGGCTCTAGGATTGTTAGCCGTTATAAAGTGGGTGTATGCTCTCGGTTATAACAACGTAGATTTTGAAATGGATGCAAAAGTTGTCGTTAATGGTTGTCGCTTGCGCGAAAAATAAGGTGCCGGCATGAAAGAAGAGTCGCCACCTTTCGTTATTTATCCCTCAGAGCGGGAAAGGAAACTATCGGAAAAACCTGACGAAAAAGGGTAAGACAAGGTCATCGCAACCATTGTCTGGGTTCGGGAGTCGGTTACGCAAGGGGAAGGTATTAGCACCCCTCACGTCCGTCGTACTCGACGGGATCCTCGCTTGTTTGGTTACTTGGATGGGTTGGTTTTATTCTATCTACCTATCAAGGCTGGCTGAAAAAGAAAAGAAAAATGACTCGGCAAAGCGTCGCACTTTATGCCTACGTATTCTCATCAGAGAATGAGAAATCAGAGTCAACGTAGTTCGGCCTACGAAGGGTGAAGGTGGGGAAGGTTGATCGCTAGGATATCGCATCCTATGCCTACGTACTTCCACACAGCATGGAAGATCAGAGCAAACGTAGTTCGGGCAACTACGGGTTATCTTCTAAAAGAAGCGTTTTTTATTGTGTTTGCGATCTCAACCGCACTAGAGACTATGACCTGAGAGGGAATGCGTCCTTTCTCAGATAGCTTAAGGCTCGTAACGTACGAAAGAAATCATTCATGATTACTGTATTTTAAACTGCTTCAAGATGAGAAGAGAACATGCCCAACTAGGAGGGAGACTATCAAGTCCTACTGTTGTCATGCCATGGATTCATCCTATGGTTGAGGTTTGAACAGGGAACTCCTAGATGTTGTCATGCATAGGTTTCAACCTAAAAGTCTATCATCAAATCCTTATCAAAGGAAATGAGAGTCCTAAGGGATCATGTCAATGATACGCCAAAACAGACAAAAGCATCAGCTTTAACAGTAAAATGCATGCAATGCAAGTGAGGGAGGAAATGTGTGTGGGGCTTCAGCCTCCACAAGCTCGTCTCGACCTCAAGCCAGTCATGAAATAACAGTAATCATACTGAAAATAAACCACAGGCTATCAAGCCATATACAGATAAAAGGGATGAAATGCCATCAGGCAAACAAGACACATGCTTGAGAAAGAATCATCTACTCTAATCTCTGATCCTAACCCTAACACAGAATCCTGATCAAATCTAAGCAAAGCCCTAAAGCAAAACCTAACCAAAAGAAATCAATCCCAGTCTTCAAGCTTCAGAACAAGCTTACCAAAGAAAGGGAGCTAAGTAAGCAGACTCATAGTGTCTTCCTCAGGAAAGCACTAGGAGGTGTATACTCAGGAATCATATCCTACGTGGCTCAACCACTGTGATCAGTTTACATTCCTCCTCAAGAGAAACTAAACTCACAAGAAGGCTCCAACATCACTGGATACTTAGGAAATCCTATCTGAACTAGTGGAACTAAATGAACAGACTCATAGGACCTTCCTCAGGAAAGTACTAGGAGGCTTCCACTTAGGAATTGTATCCCATGTGGCTCAACAACATGTGATCAGTTTACATTCCTCCTCAGGAGAAATTAAACTCACAAGTTGGCTCCAACATCATTGGATACTTGAGAAATCCTAGATAAACTAAGGGAACTAAGTGAATAGACCCATAGGACCTTCCTCAGGAAAGTACTAGGAGGCTTCCACTTAGGAATTGTATCCCATGTGGCTCAACAACATGTGATCAGTTTACATTCCTCCTCAGGAGAAATTAAACTCACAAGTTGGCTCCAACATCATTGGATACTTAAGAAAGAGGTGAGAAGAAAGAATGAAAGTCATTCATAGTGCCTTCCTCAGGAAAGTACCATGAACTTCCTTCAAACTTCAGGATCTCAAACCTCACAAGCAGGGAACAATCCCCAAGCTCTGGGTCTCTGAGTCTTGATCTACAATCTTCTCTTCATCATGCTCTTCAACAAGATCTTCAAAATAACACAAGCCCCACAACAAATTCCCCACACAAAACCCCAGAGATGAACAGATAACCATAGGGCAGACAAAATCATCAGGCAACTTCAGAAAATACCTAAAAATACTAAACCAAGGGGAAAAAATCTAACAATTATTCACAAGGGTCTACAACATCTACCCATAACACCCACATATGCCCCTACCCAAAAAACAAGACAAAACTATCTAAAGGAAATGAATTCTTTCACCTATGCACAACCTAAACCCTAATTAGGATACCCTAATGCTAACCTAATTAAACTAATCAAATTTTAATCTAAAAATCAAGAATTAAATCCTATGGGGAACTATGATTCAATATCTAATTACACAAAAAAGAATGAATTAAAAAGACTAAAGGAAGGTCCTGAAAGAAATTCTACAAAATCATGTACAAAGTTAATCCTATTTTAAAAGCTATTTAAAAGAAAAATCTATTAAAAATACTAAACTAAAAATAAAATCCCATTTTTATTTTTAGTATTTCCTACACATTATTATCTACCTAGTGCAAAAAGAAGAATTAAAAAACAATTATTTTTCAATTAGTTACGATTTTATTAAAGCAAGAAAATATTAAAGAAAATCAAAATACAAGAAATGAAATTAAAATGGGCTGGGGGGTGCCACCAGCAAAGCGTCCCATTGATTCTCAAGATGGGCCCAGGAAAGGGGGTGCGCCTAGCAGGGCGCGCCTGGGCCCAATGGTCACCAGAAAAACACTTGAAAAATAAAAGAAAAAGGGCCTGAGGACGGTGCAAATAGCAGCTGAATGCAGTTGAAAAACTGATTGGGCCGCTGGTGGGGGGTGCATATAGCAAATAGGGCCTAAGCCCAATCCAACTCGCTTCAGTAATTTCACGCAGGGGGGGGTGATACGGGTAAATTGGGAGTATGCGTTCAGCAAAACGAACTTGGGCCCAAACGATGCCCAAACCCTAGCCCAACTAACCAGATAAACAAAACCTAAATTTCCTTCCCTAACTCTGAACACTGTTCATCACTCAAACCAAACCCTGGCCGCTTCATCCCCAACCTCCATCCTCTCTCCAGTTCCTCACCCAACCCTCACGCATCATCAACCAAATCCCAGAAATCACAACCCTACTCAGAATACTCTCACCCTCATCTCAACAATGAAACTCAAACCCTAAAACGATAAGCCCTAAAAATCAATGAAAGATAACATCAAAGGAGGTGAGAAGAAACGAACCTGGAGACGAGGACGTTTCTGGAAAAAATGAAGTACGAAGGGGGTTCGCTTGAAGTTGGATGATCTTGACGTCGAAGCGGCCTGGATCGTGGAAGGAGGTTGCAGAAATCGCTCCGTTTGCTGAAGATTTCTCAAGGAAAAGTCCGAGAATCTGGCGTTCTTGAAGATCTAAGAGTGATCTGGAGATCCTGGCAAGAACATTGAAGCGGAGGTTCTTTGAAGATTCTGGGGATTTTGCGAAGAACAAGCGAAGTTCTTGATGATCTTATGATGATAACGATGATTTTCTGGGGAGAGATTGAAGGACCATGGAGGCGGACGGTGATTCTGGGCGCAGTGATGAGTTTTCCGGCGAGTATGAATTCTCCGGCGAGGGCGTGTGGCTGGGGATCGGAGGAAAGAAGAGGAAGAAGATGAAGATCCTGAGGGTTTTCTGCAGTTTTGCAGTTTCCGATGAGGGACGGCGGTGTTAAGGGTGGCCGGAAGGGGTTTGCATGCCGGCCGGTGGCTTCTCCGGCGAAGTTCAGGTGATGGTTTGTGGTGATGACAGGTGGCAGGGTAGTGGAGGGAGCTTCTGCATGCAGGACGCGTGTCCTGGGGCGTGGCAGAGAGAGAGAAGGCGTGAAGTGATGTGGCGTGATTCTGAAGCGTAACGTGGGGTCCCCCTTGGATTTACACGTGGCTTGCAGGCTTTAAAGGCTGAGAACTTCTGGATCGTTCTAGAAGCTTCTGGACTTTGCTGGATTGAACTGGACTGTGCTGAAGGGAATTGGGCCTTGCACCGAATTGGGCCCATACGAAAATCATCACAAAAAACTCAGAACAAAAAACTGAATTAAGACTAATATTAAAAACCTAATTAACCAATGATTAACTAATAAAACTAATTAAAACTAAACCTAAAAACAAACCACAATTAAATCTGAATGAAAATTACACTAATCCTAATTAATTCTAACAAATTCAAATTAAACTCTAAACAAAAGATTAACTCCTAATTAACCTAATTAAATCTAACACTAATAAAATTCTAATAACTCTCTAACAAACCTATACTATTTAAAAATGATTTTAAAATCTATTATTAATAACAAAAATCTATATTATTCTATTAAGAAAATGATAAAATCTATTTAACTCTATTATTCTAAAAAATGATTTAAAGCTATTAATATCTACTAAATTCTAAAATGGATTAAAACTATTAAAACTATTTTAAAAAACTATTAATATCCTATTAATATTCTAGAATGAAAAATGCTATTAAATTCTATTAAAAATTCTAAAAACTATATTACTCTATATTATCTAAAAACAATTAAAAACAACTTTAAAATCTATTATATTCTAAAAAATGATTTAAAAACTATTAAACCAATTAAAAACCTATTTAAAAAATCTATAAAATCCTAAAAATGATATAAAGCTCTAGAAAAAGACCTAAACTATTTAAAAAATGTTTAAAAATCTATTTAAAATCCACAAAAGCCCTAAAAATGCAAACAGAGGCCAATAACCAACATAGCAGAGCGTGCGACCAGATCAATTCAACCAGTAAACCCCTGGCATCAGAATATCTCGAAAACCACCATGCAGACTGAAAATCCCGAGAAGCGCACAATTTCCCGAAATATAA